CTATTGAAAATACATTTCTGAATATATATCCCTTAGAAAATGTATCAGAAAGACTATCTTCACACATAAAGAGTGATCTGCACATACAGCGAAACTCAGATCGAGAAACTAAATGATATGGCAGAAGTGTGAGGTTTTTTTTAACTGGAGTAGAGTTGATTTACAATTTTGCGCTAGTTTCTGGTGTACAGCATAATGATTCATATATATATATATATATATATATATATATATATATATATATATATATATTTCTTCCAGATTCTTTTCCGTTACAGGCTGTTACAAGCTATTGAATATAGTTCCCTGTGCTCTGCAGTAGGTCCTTGCTGTTTCTCCCTTTTATATATAGTAGTGGGTATATCTAATCCCAAACTCTTAATTTATCCCTCTCTCACACCGCTTTCCCCTTTGGTAACCATAAGTTTGTTCTCGATGTCCGTGAGTCTATTTCTGTTTTATATTTATATAAAACTTATTTAAGTTCATTTGTATCATTTCTTAGATTCCATGTATAAGTGATCTCATCTGGTATTTTTCTTTCTCTTTCTGGCTGACTTCACCTGGTATGACGATCTCCAGGTCCATCCATGTTGCTGCAAATGGCATTATCTCACTGTTCTTTTATGGCTGAGTAGCATTCCACTGTGTGTGTGTGTATATATATGTATACACACAACATCTTCTTTATCCAGTCACCTGCCCACGGACACTAGGTTGCTTCCGTGTCTTGGCTATGGTAAATAGTGCTGCTATGAACATTGATCTGCATGTATATTTTCAAATTGTAGTTTTTGTCTTTTCCAGATACATGCCCAGGAGTGGGATTGCTGGATCATATGGTAACTCCAGTTTTAGTTTTTTAAGGAAACTCCATGCTGTTTTCCACAGTGGCTGCCCCAGCTTGCATTCCCAGCTCTTCTCAGGGGCGTGGCTTTCTATAAGAAAAGAGGTGCATTCAGCTCGAGGTGTGACTTACTGAGCCGTGGAGAACTGAGGTAACCATGCCCTGGAGCCCTGCCTCAGACGCACATTAGTGATTCCTGCAGACACAAATTCATTAGTTGTTTAATTAAGTTAAATCATGAATTGAATTTGTTTAATCATTAATTAAGGAACAAGAAGGGCTGTGCTAAAATTTAGCCCCTCAGGGAAAAAAAAAACAGAGTAAAATAGCAATTCCAAATTCTTTCTACCCGATACCTACTACTGAGTGCCAGTTTTGCCCTCTGCCTCCCTACATCCACATGCACATGCACACACATGCACACCTATGTGCACACACCCACATGCACACGCACACACATGCACACCTATGTGCACACACCCACATGCACACGCACACCTATGTGCACACACCCACACGCACACGTGCACACACACATGCACACGCACACACATGCACACCTATGTGCACACACCTGCACACCTATGTGCACACACCCACATGCACATGTGCACACACACATGCACACACGTGCGCACACACATAGACTGAAATCCTTTTCAGAAATATGGCTATTGTTTTCAAAATAAGAGAGAAAGTATTTTTTGCAGATTGTACATTTGACTTTTATTCTTACAAATGGCATTTTCCTTACTTAAGAGGGAAATAAAAAGGATTTGCCTAGCTTTGTAAAATCAAAATGGTGGCATTTCTTGAAGCATGAAGGACCAACACACAGTGAAAGGATTACATTTCAACTCCAGCTGGACTCTCAGGGGAACGCTGCCAATAACCCCAAGTCCTTCAGTAATCACTGTAAGAACTCAGGTACCAGCACAATTAGAACCAGAGCAGAGATGCCGTCGGGCATCCAGCTTCTCCTGGTATTGCGGATGCAGTGGAGCGCGGCATGTGTTCCACACCTGAAATTAAACTCCCTCCCTGCAACCACGATGACATGCTGGCTGACACCCAGGGCTCTTGGATTTCACACGTGTGAGAAAGTGGTCATTCTTTCCTGTGAATCTGAGCAGCTCCCCAAGTGCCATCTCGGCCACGACTTGTGAATCATAGGGCCCCTCCAGATGGCTCATGCCATGATAATGCGTCAAGGCAATTTATTTTGATTTCTAGCATTAATCAGTGAGTCATTTATGGCTTCTCTTACAGTGTTTCGCAGAACACGATGGGAATTCTGGTGCCCTTGATTTTGTGTTTCATGTTGCCAAGGGGGGATCTGGAGGGTTTACTTGGCTGTGTGGCTCGGGGACTCAAGGCTGAGAATCCCTGCTTTGGCATAATGGTCCACATCCTCATGGAAGTGGCTGGGTTAGTTGTCATAGCAACAGACATAAAAATTATCCACCTGATTTTCCCTTCTGGCATTTCAGGGTACAGCCGCGTGAAGTGTGGGACACCCTCTCCCCAGAGTGCTCAAAACAAAGATAGGTGAGTCTTCTCACCAATTAGCCCTGAAAGCTAATTTTTCAAAAATCCCATCTTTCAAGTCGTAGCTGGTGAATCAGTGGGAACACAGACCAATTTGAATGATGTGTAACTAGACACAGCGGCACGGACCAGGTCAGATAAATGGGGCCATCCAAATTTGCCAACGGAGGGTCAGATCTCTGTGGAGTGGAGTGAGGGCAAGGACTTCACATAAAAGGAAGTTACAGGTAGAGCGAGAGAGAGAGA